ACTGAGGTGACAAAGATCTCCTTCCCCCACGGCGTCGTATTACAAATGGGCACTCTCCCAAAATTGTCTCGAAATATCTGGGCGAGCACAAAAAAAAACACAGAGAGAGAGGGGGAGAGAGAGAGAGAATGAGACTGAAAGAGAAAGAGGAAATAGAGAAACAACTCTAATAGGGAAGCGGAATGACACGCTTTGCGCACAAGTAGTCGTAAAGTTGACCGGAGCGGAACAGGTCCAGCCCCGAGCAAACTCGGACGTCGTACACGGTTATCGTGCTCCTCTGAGATTTTTCAGCCAGTTCCTGTTTGACCCGAAGAAAGAGAGCTGGCGGGATATGATTCTCGCTGCAGAGAGTCGCCTCATCAGGGGCTAATGAAACAAACCCTCGCATATTGCGGATGTCAAGTGAACCACCCCATCGCATTTCCACGTCCATGTCGCTCGGCTGCAGACGTACATCCCTTGACATGGCCCGTCGGTCCTCAAGAATCTTTTCCACAGGGGTCCTGAAATGCAGTAAACGCTTAAGGGCAACGAGCCAAGCCTCGCTGTCGCTGTCCGTCTCACACACAACCTCCAAGGATTTTCCACCACGGAGTGACAGTGCGAATGCGCGATAGTTGCACAGTCCGAGGTTGGCTGGCGTGATGATTTGCGTAAGGTCGTGGCGGTACGTTCCATTATCAGAAACTGCCTCTTGTCGTGTTTTCGCCAGCTGTGCCTCGCTGCTGTAGTTCACAAATGAAGTTGTGTACAAGCCGATGACGACCTTTTTAATGTCTCGTATCCATACGGTGACAGGAGGCCGCTTCCGATTTATCGGAAATCCTTGCTGGTCCAGCTCACAGGAATGAATCCGCCTGCAGTCCTCCGAGAGAAAATAGAAGCGCCTGCGAACGTGGCCCTTACTTGATATTTTTGTCATGCGGACGCCATTACGCAGGTAGGTAAGCACTTGATCCACAAGCGAACTAAGGTGTTGTTCCTTTGTCTCAGCATCATGGATTTTTTCATTCTCCTTCGCCATGTAGTTATCAAGCATGCGCTCTCGATACACCTCAAGTCCGCGTTCCAGCTTCTCCTTGCGGGCCTTCTCTTCCTCAATTTTAGCCAAATACGCTTGTTTTTCCTGCGAAAAGACTTCGTCAAACTGGCGGCAAATGATATCTGTTTCCTCCGGATTGACAGGAATATCTTCAAGTGAAATCAGCTTCGGCAAGTAATCCTCGATAGTTTTGATGTCAGCCATCAGTGCCCTCTCCGCTGCGTCTTCCTTGGCCGTAGACGGCTCACAATTTTTTCTCCGCTCCTCGCTCAAGAGGCGCACCTGCTCCAGCACCTTGGCATTCATTTCTTTAATTTGGTCAATCCACTGTTTGCGCTGGCGACGTCGCTCCTCCAGCACTGTCTTTCGCAGTGCCTGAATCGACTGCCGCTCCCGCATGACGGCCTCACGTCCCTTCGCCCTGTCAAGCTGCACCAGCTCTAGTTGCTTCTTTTTCATCTCAATGGCACTCTGTCGCATATTAAGTTCCTGTTCCAACTGCCGCATTTCATCCTTCAACCGCTCCGAGGCGCTCTCCTCATCGTGTTTCTTCTTTCGAATCTTCTCCAACGTCTGTTCGTAGTCCCGGACGCGTTTTTCGCGATCGGCCTGCAGAACACTATTCTCTCTCTTTTTGGCCTCGAGTGTCTTCTCAAGTTCACCCAACGTCACCCCACTCGTCTGTTCAAGTTCCCTAATCATATTTTCCGCCTTGCACATGGCGCGCTCGCGCACCAAAGCCAACTGCCTTTCTCGCGCCTCTTCACGTTTGTTCTGAATGGCACTGATGCGCCTCATTTCCTCTTCTTTTATATTTGCAATAGGTTTGTTGGACTCGTAGATGCAAGGCCTGTAGTCGTACACGGTACGGGCAATCATGAGTTCATCCCGCAGCTCCATTATATCCTGATCAAGACGCCACTTGTCAACGGCAAGATCCCGTGTGGCGGATCCGAGCCCCGTAGAGCCAAGAATGCTGCAGATACGACGCGTTATGGAGAGGCAATGAAATGACTCCTCCGCCCACATGGCGTCTGAAAAGGCGTGGACCAAGAAAGCTGTGTCAGTAGAACCGTTGAAGTCGTTGTAAGGATTGCCTTTTTCTGCATTGTATGCTCGGCGAAGCAACTGACTTAGTTTTGACTTGCCGAAGGGAATGCGCAGCCGACTGCAGCGGATACTGGACACAATACCTGTTGCCGACACCAGCGTGCGTTGAGCCTTTTCGTATTGTTGCTGCGCTGAGGCATCAATGCCGCAAAGCACAGGCCGTTCAGCATCTCCCAAGGCAATAAATGTCAAGGAGTTGGCGTCCATGTGGTCTGTGAAGGCCGCCTCATCCTCATAGCGGTAAAGCTGGAGGACAACTGTGTCTGGCAAATAAGGGGGCAGTGCTTCCAGTTCGGGCGTTGGCTGCTTTTCACACAGTACAGATGCAAAATATTTTTCATAATTTTTCACAACCGTGTCCATTGCCACCCGAACATCTCCGGCTGAGGACACACGCAGTCGCTCCACCATTCGCACACGGGGTCCCTCCTTTACGGAGTCCACAACAACGCCAAGCTCATTGCTGGTGTTAAGGAGGTCCGCAAGATGCTCCGTTGACCCAATGACGTAGCATGAAAGGACAAAAATGCCTTTCTTGCCGCCTAACTGAATGGCTTCAGAGATGACTCGTGTGGCATATCCCTCGCCAGATGCGGAGCCGTACATTAGTTGTCGCCTTTGGTGACGAACGCACGCCGTAGCTGAAAACTACCATATTTTTGCGTGCTTGAATAAAGTTTGAGGCGGCAGCGGAAAACAAACTTTGGTACAATGTACGTGAATTAGGCCGGTCAAATGCCGCATCGACGTTGAAGGAAGCCTCGGCCACCGGAAATCCGGCATCCTTCAGGGGTTGGGGGCACCTGAACTGCAGCGTGTTACCCTCCACTTTTAGTGCCTCAGGGAGCTGCGAAGAAGGCGTCTAAGTTTGGTGAGCGCAACAAACACGTCTCGTTTTCATTGAGAAAATTATCCGTTTGAACTTCCTTGTGTGTGTGTGTTGCATACATTCACACAGAAAAAGGACAGTCGTGTGGAAAGCG